TAGTACAGTTTCAGAGTGACAGGTTGTATATTATGTTAATAGCTATAAAGTTACAAACGCCTATGAAAAGCCCGGATTGATCACTAGTAAGAAATAAACACAACAACAAAGAAATATGCCACTAAATCCTCATTATTTTAGCCAACATTAACTAAATTTTTTATTAAAATTGATAAAATAATACATCTCAAGAAACCTTATACAACGCCATCTATCCAAACATAGAAGAACTTGTACATTGTACCAAACAACATAATTATAGCAATACATACTTAAATTAATACTTATTTTGTATATACTCAATATACACAGAAAACACATCACAATATACTTACAGATATTAATTTAATTTTAAACCCATAAGCTATAAAACTCGCTATCATTGGAAAATAAGGCAACATTATTTAGTTCTTCGAATTGAATACGCATATCTATTCAAAACTACATACATATGTTTATTCACTTCCTTTGCAGTTCAGTTACGCTATTGTTACAAAGATTTATTAGTGGCATAGTTGATAGTACAGGGAGTAAATACGGTTTCAGTGTCTGATTCAATTTATAGAAATCAGCGAGTCGTTTGTCAAACTAGGTTTACATCTGTCACCGGAAACATGTGCTATCGTTTTGTAAATAATTTTAAATGTTTAGAAATTCTTACGTTCTGTTACGTTCGGATCCGTCATAGGTATTATTTGATAAGATAACCGTTTGTTATGTAAATTAGAGTGATGTACTTGTATTTGTCATATGGCAACAACAATACGCTTAAATAATAACTTCAGCAATAAATTCAGTTCCCGATATAGGTACTAGAACGTGTGGCATTTTAATAAGATCTTCTACCAATATTAATAAATGAAAACTTAGTTTTAAAGTTGCTTACGCGAGTTGCCGACTTAGGACTACTTATCGTTTTAACGAGATGATATAGAATTACTACAGTAGTAACACCAATCATAGCCTAATTAACTATAATACATAGAATGATGTTAGATTTATATATAAGTTTTTTTATATAGATTTCGCATGAGCGTAGGTATTCTGGTCCTTTGCACCAGATCGGAAACATCTTATTGCCAACGCATCGTATACAGATAAAATATTAGACAGTTTTAAATCGTAAATGTAAGCTTTGGCTATAATTTATGTAATAAACTATTGATACTTATAAAAATGTGTCTTATTTATTTATTTCCTATCATCAACCCTTTTGTATTTTCACTGCTGGTTTTTCCATAAGAGAACAAACGTTAAACTATGTACAGAATCACTCCTTCATTTAAGCACTTCTGTCTCAAATATTTCAGTCGTCAACCAGCTGGGTTTTGGTTGAAGGGCAAGACATGGCAGTGCAATGACACAATACCACAATCCATAGGAATAGTAACTCATTAAAGGTATCCTGGTGTCAAGTAACCATTTTATGTATATGATGCTATTCAAGTATATAGGCGACGGTTGCAGCTTACTATTACATAGGTGAGCCGTCGGCTTGTCTATTAACTTGTTCTGAAGAGACTATGTAGAAAGTTGTTATTATTAATATTTGTGAGTTTTATGTCAAGTTTTCCATCTACAGCAGTGAACTGTTTGTCTTTATTTCCTTAATTTCTTCGGCACTTATCCTGCTGGGGTTGAAATAGAATGATACATTTATATTAAAATTTAATGTCATTAAAAGGAGATTTTGCAATGATGAAAGGACGTTGGATCAGACTTCTATAGCTCTGAAATAATTATTATTCCAGAGTGATGCAATATATAAGCAAAATTGCAAATTTATGAATACCCAAAGGAAGCACTTTTTTTGGCTTCTCTATTAATAATAAAATCAGTAAAATATTTATTTCTAATTTCTTTCTTATAAAAACTGCGATTAAAGCGGTTACACTTCAGTTTTGTGACTATCTAGTGATGACTATATTATACTAAACAGCTGATTCAGTGGACAATAGCAGTTGCAAACGACATATTGGATATAATTTACTTGCAATTTTAATTTGATTTAATTTTCCCAAGAAATGGCAAAAATATAAATCTGCGGTTTTTTTAACAGCCTATTCTTTATAAATTATATGTTAGTAAATACTCAATAATGATGCGTATAATCTCCACACCGGGCCCCGGTCGTCTCTCCGGTTGATCACACGTCCAATTCAAACGGGGATCGAAATTTCGACGGCCTGACCCGAGGTTTGAACCCTAAATGGTACCCGCAGACTAAAGTAGTATCTGTTAGGCGGGAGTTAGCCTTCAGCCGTTTCATCAGTCCTTCCGCTGGGTTATAGTGCTATCTACACTCGCCCCCTATCATGCGGTGAAGCTGTAAAGGCTAGTTGCGGCCAACAGCATTACAGTAGTCCGATTAAACAAGCAAAGTTAGGTATAATGCAAAATAATTGCCTTAAGTGTACAACTATACCATTTAAATAACAATTTTATGACATAGTTCCAAATGACTGATAAGCAAGTTATCATGGATTTACAGGTGTTAAATCCACATCAAACTCATGATAAGAAGCATTTGATATTCTTTGTCTGTTTGTAACAAAGATATTAAATACATTTTGCAATCCTACACCTCATATCTCGTTTTTCTAAAAGGTAGGCCAAATGAGCACAAACATTCATGATAAATCAAATCTACTTTGGCGAAGATGATAATAAAGTTGAACATTCGACACACAGCCATTGAGTCAAACCCAAGTTAAACAATGCTTGTATTAGTTTACTAGAAAATTGATACAAATATCTACTTTAATAATGCTTTAACTTTTTTTTTGTAAATGGATACTTAAATGCCAGATATAGATATACGTCCATCAGTGGACTAACATGCTGAAGAAGAGAAGAAGAGGAAGATACACTCATACTCATGACACACATGAATACAAATGTTTTTATAGTGAAACCTGGTTAATTAGATCTCGAAGGACCAAGAATTATGTTCCAATTATTAGGGTTTCTATTAATCGAGTTTTCCGATTAAACAGGTTTAAAATTATAGTTGTTTCATTTACAGAGCCCCTCGCTTATAGAGTTCGAAATGTACCGTTATTCTATTTATAGAGGTGGAAAAACCTTTAATAGTAGGTACTGACAAATAAAGAATGTGCAAAACACATTCAAATATTTGTAAACATACGTGTTAAAACCTGTCCCAATCTGATTAATTTGTCTCACTTATTTACATAGAAAAAAATATAGAATTTAAATCTCATTAAACGCGGTTCGAAAAATCCCATTAACAGAGGTAATTCAATGAAAAAGTACCGGGACCTCATTGCAACTCAATAACAGAGGTTTCTCATTTATCCAGGTCTAACTTAACCAGGTTTCGCTATATATTACATTATCTGTGGTTTATACAGTTCGAGGAATGAAACCTATGATCATTCGATGTAAAATGGTAGTCTAGATTACCGAAGCCGTCGAGTATTACGAATATATGATTAAAATATACCTACTAATACATGTCCCAGAAATTAGATAAATATACACTATAGACAATGTAGCTTAATCATGTCACAGCGATTTTTATATGAAAATACCTAATTAGAAAGTAAATAAAGTGTTTATTATCTTGATAACATATAAATACAGGTAAAGGAGTGGTAAACAGTTAAAATAAATAAATAAAATGCTGTAATTATACAATACCAAAGACTCGCAAGGTTAAAGCGGTCACGGAGTGGTTCTTGATAAAACAACCAGTACGTCATTTCTATAAACATTTTTTTTATAGTGCTAATATTTCATGTTTTAACTTTCAAGGAGAAAAGTTATTTTTACCTCTCCGTACAAAGACAGTGACACCCAGAGTTAAAAACGACAACGCCAACAACTTTGTACCATATTTACTTCGGCTAAAATTTAATTTTAAATGCACGCCCTGCTTCCAATCCAAACTTTAAAATATTACATTAAAAAGTTTAGTATAAGGAAAGGATTCTGAGTTATGTGGCCCGTGTATGTTAAAATTTATAATCTTAATAATATTCTAAACGCGAAAATTTGTGAGTGTGGATGTTTGTTACATTTTCACGCAAAAACTACTGAACGAATTTTGATGAAACTTCACAGTAATATAGCTTATGCATGAGAATAACGTATAGGCTATATTTTTTATTGAAAATTAACGCGGCTCAAACCGCGGGCACAGCTAGTAATATTATAAGTACTTAGGTTTCGATATTAAGGGTTCGGTTCTATAGAACTGAGGATGTTGAAGACAAAATTGCGTGGGTCAGCTAGTTAAGGATTAATTGTTCGAAATTTTGATTAAATATTAATAGTGGTTTAGTACCCTGAAATAGTCCCAAGAACATACATTCTGGTGTAAGGTGATTACGTACCATTAGACTGGCCTTATGCTGAATTAATTTACTTTTAAAGATGCCAATGTACGAGAGTCCTATTACATTTTCAAGATTGTTGTCGCATTTCAGTCTCGCACAAGTTTCAAAAAAACTTTACTGTACCTCCGTGCTAGAGAAAATAAATTAAAATTTACCGCCCTTCCTTATTTTCCCTGAATCACAACCGAATTGGTTTTGGGTTACAACCGTACGGGTTAATTGCGTTGAGTTCATGCTTATTCTATAATTCTCCATTGATGTTCCGCCAGCATGTTAGCGCAGGGCACACCCGCCTACGCTATCATAATTTCAGCATCTCAACCTAAATAGATTATTTCCTTACAAAATACCTAATTAAAAACAAACAACCTCATGAAATATAACACAACAAATGTTTACGTCGTACATACGACTGTTGCAAAGTAAGGTAAACCCCCAGAGGTCAATTTTATATTATAAACTAATGCCCATGATATAAATAAACTTGTAAGCTTTCTTTTTTATATTACAATTACTTTAATAGGGATTAGTCCCCATTAAAGTAATTTTCATAGTTGTTTAGGAAATACCTAGATCCGGGATTAACATTAAATAAACACTAATTAATGTAAATAATATTTATTATAATTATCTCAGTGATTTTCATATACAACATTGATAGTAATATCTCATCAATATGGTTCACAACATTGTTGAAATATTACTTATTAATTAATTACAATAACATAAGCATCCAAATAACACAATCTGTAAATCAACGTAATAAAATTAATATATAATACAATCGGGTAAAAAAATTGTAATAAAAAAATATTTCAACATCTATAGGTAGTACTTTAAATCAAAATACTATGTTGCTCTATTGTGGACTGGCAATATAAAAATATATATAAAGGAGAACCAATATCAACCTAAATATCAGATCTATTAAGTATTGTTCCTTCCATTTGTTATTATTAAATATTACTCAAGCTATTACTTATGCTTTCATAAAGAAATGTATTCCCGGAAACGGTATTTAATAGCCTCATATGTAGTTTGTGTTTCAGTTGCAACCGACTTTCAACCAGAATGGAAAATAGACTGAACCAATTCTGCGCACAGAACAAAATACACATACTATTATTAAAGTGCCCCGCGGCATGTCTGCATGTCGTTTTCATATATCAATCGAGTAATTTCTATGGAAAGTTTAGGTGTATAATCCATTAAGGTTAATTTTAATGTTATTTTCTTGCAATTATTCTTTATTTTAATTTGACATTATTTTCGAAACAGCAGTTGAAAAACGCTTAACATAAATGAAGCCATAATAAAAGAAACGTCTTATGTTTAACAGTTATAAAATATACAATGCTATAAAAACATCAACATATAGAATTTTGGTAATAAGAAACATTCTAAAATTATTTACATCGAGGTGTAGTAGGTATAAATGCACTTTTACTAACAAATCATTGTTTCCATTTCTGTTTAAGTAGATTTACATGATTTTATTAAGCTATAGGATACATTATAAAAATTTCTAATAATAATCAATATAGTTTATAAATCTTAACGTACATAATTATTACCGATTCAGACGTCTTTGTATAAAGTCAACCACGGTAAATTAACTGCATATTAACATATTAAAGGAGGTATTTTTTATATAAAAAAGAAATCTAACTACAATACAATATTATATCTTAGTATAAATACATCCATTATAGGAACATTTAGTTATATATATCTAAGCGAATTCTGTTTCATTTGTAAAAATTAACTAATCAGTTATAATAAAAAAATTGATTTTTTACAAAACGGACGACTAAATTTACAAAAATAGTACCATTTATAGGCACATCATTGGCGATATTGTTTAATGAGTAAAAAATCTTCTATTTTCTAATATAAATAGAATTTACATTTATTCAAATGAACTCAATATAAACACTTCTGATCATATAACATACTTTTATATTCTACCACTCATTCGGAAAGTACGACTCATCAAAAGAACGAGCAAGAAACTTGCGTGCTGTTCTTTTAAATAAACGTTGTTCAGCATTACTTGCTTAGGATTTTGTGTAAACACAAACTATCAAATAGCTAAATTGACAAATAATAAAAGTACATAAGTAATAAGTCGGTTAAATTCACACAACTCAATTGAATCCTATCTAATAAGTTAAGACTTTAAATATTCTACCTAATGATACAAATATATTTGCGACACGAGAAAATCATACAATATTTTACTATTTATTTGACTATATAAGTACATTTTATAAAAATTGTGCGAATACAAACACAACACGAGGCAATTCGCATTAAAAAAATCCCCCGCTATTTTCATAAGCTGCTGCTGCTGAAAAAAACGTGGAAGTATTCTATAAATAAATAAAAACATCCACACATGACCCTAAAATTGGTACCGAGATAAAACAGTAGCGGGGAGCGCCCGAGATGGCAACATTGATCGTCTCGTGCATAGGCAAATCGTAATCAATATCGTATTATCTCCACCGATTTTAGGGCCGCGTGTAGGAGCTTTAACTGCACATATCACAAAGCGACAACTTAAGTTTAACAGGACTAGTACTATTACGCGCACTAGATAACCGATAATAATACTTAAATACATTTTGTATATACATACATAATATAACATAATACACATATGTAGGTGTTCATAAATACAATTAATAGTCGCGGTTTTAAATCCAGCACATTTTTTTGTATTGTACCAGATTCCAAAGCGCGACTATTGGACTAGGTAGTGCAGCTACCATGTTGCTCTTCACCATTAGTAACATCCAATCATATATTTATATAAATAAATTAAGCATTATTTAAAACTATTATTTTATCGCGCAAGGATGTTTTGAAGATATATTGATAACGTTCAAAAACATATGGTATTAACAATATGTTTAATAGTAACATTTTGCCCTACAAATGTAGAAAGAAATCATTAAAATGTATAACATACATAATTGTAACCAACGGATGTTCCGTTGGCGGATTATGTTAAAAATATGAATCTAAACATTCGACGTCACTCCTTGTGAATATAATTCTAATCACACACCGGAAATAGTGTCGTAAACACGTTACATATGTATTTATTTAATTGACATATATTTACATTTCGTATTCGTTTATTAAAATACACTTAAATGTAACTTGGTTAAAATACACTTAAATGTAACTTGGTGCTTTAACTTATATGTTTTCAATAATATTATTTCCAATAACATGCAAATGCAACAATAATAATAGACTAAGCTTACTATGGCAACTGATTTCGTATTCAGGTCTTATAGAATTAAATAAATAGGGCCACAACTGTAATATCGTATGGGGTGGTTAATTACAGGCTTTATCGATTGTAGATACCGTCGCGCATTGGTTGGGTACCTATCGTTTCTAACTATCATATAATGTATACTGGCGACTTAACGGATAGTAATAGGCAATAATGTAATCAATGCTATGTGAGGCATATCTACATCCATATAAGTATATAAGGTATAATACCACATTAAAAAACATTTGAGCCTCTAGGCTGATTTACTCAACTGAAACTATCGTTTGAATTGGACGGCATATTGGAACAATTATATAAAAGCTGACGTCCAGGTAACTTAAATGTCTTACATGATTATATGCTTTACAGCTATACATACTACGTAAAAAATTTTGTTACCAAAACCTTAATAGTGCCTGACTGACAAGTATTTGAAATAATTTTACTATAGGCCCACCAGCTGACACAAATTACTGTGGTACTCAGAAGATGTAGGCACAATTCAATCGTTGGAAAATTACTTTGTTAAACTGCACCAATCAAGATGGACACAATTAAGTATGGTAATAATTTTAAGTTATACTAAAATATCGAATAATAGTGTTACTATATTTTTTATTAGTTTCTGTTCTATATGTTGAGCTTTGAACAGAATAGAACTAACTGTCTTGTTACAGGTATATTATGTGAAGTGACATCCATGTATTAAATAAAGAATAATTAATTAATGTGAATGGAGGTAAAGCAGGAGGAGGAATTAAATAAGCATGGATGGATTTTGTGAAAGATGATATTCTTCGTCAACTATAAATAATGGGATAAGGACAAGGCAATGATTATTCTATAAGTTGAGCAAGTGTATAACAATATTACACTATATTTATATATTAAACAAATGCACCATTAATTACATATTTTTAAGCACAGTTTTATTACATACACACCACACATATGTGGTGTAATTAAGTTGTTGATTTTTTTATATCAACTTGCAAGAGGTATGGCAATATTATATGTATAATAGTTTGAAAATAATGTAAAAAATAAAATAGAAGTCAAAATTTATAAAACTAATTGCTTTTTTACACTATTATATAATACATATATATGTATCAAGTCTAATATATGCATTAAGAATATGCTCACTAGATTTCTAAATTATATGAGATTAGTACAATGTTTTGCCATAAGTATATATATATTGTTTGGTCTAGATATGATACTATATAGGTTATAATAGTATAATAAGCCCTAAATACAACCACACATTTTGTCACGAAATAAAAATGAAATATTAAAAAAAAATTAAGAATTTGGTCAATTGGTAGTGAATTCTATATAACATTTACATTTTTATGACAATACTGTATTTGTACTTGCTTATTATAAATATTATTTACAATGTACTATTATAATAAACTTCCATTTATATAGATGTAAATTTATAATCAGAATTTTATAAAGTATACTTTATAGTACCAATGTACTTCACTTGTCTTAGTTTATAATTTATGTGTTTCTATATCTCCTCATAAAAGTCATACAATATGATAAAAAATGTCTAAAATTATTCTAGGCACAATTCTTTCATAAAGTCAGAATATTCATTGGTTATTAATATATAACACAATATAGCTGTTCATATTTGTTCACTGATAATCTTCTATTAACTGGTTTCCAGTCACCAACAAAGTAAATAGTTGTCTTTGGTACCTGCAATACTATACTATAAACGTAGAGCACTTCGGTTTCCTTCGGTGACACTGCTATACGGTGTCCACCCGGTCATTGGGTACTAGAATGTAACTCGGTTTGGGTTTACGTTTGAATGTAACATATGTATAAAGGAGACTTGCCAGAACACTGATGTTGAGGCCAACAAAATTCAAATATGAGAATACATAGTCTCCTCCTATGACCATTCCTAAATATGTTACACAGATATTTTTAAGGCAGCCTATGATTGTTGTTGTTAATGCACTGTTGTACTGCGTACACAACATCACACTGTATGATAAAACAAAGCCCATTACACATGACATAAGGAACTGTATTACAAACAGTGGGTTGTTCCAGCCCGTATATTCCATCGAATGCACCAAGTCACCTGTGGACCAAGCCACTAGAGTAGCAGGAACTAACATAAACAATGCATTGTAGTACATAAGTCCATATTTACCTAGTTCTTTTGAATCTAATTTTTTCTTCATGTAAACTCCATTTGCAGCTGTGAAGGCATCATTGAGGAGCACAAGTGTGTACCCTGACCAGGAAAATGTGACGTCATCTATGGCTGCCAGAAGAGCGCCACCGACCATGGCCAATACACTAGCCTGTACCGGCCACGAGGCTCTGACTCCAAGTACAAATCTTTCCCCCAACATGGTCATCAAGATACTGAAGCGCCGTAACGCTGTGAACATTGGCAGACTAAGCTCCTTTGTGCCACCTAGTCCCGTGGCCATATTTCCTAAGTAGATGAGTGGTAACGGCCATATACGGCGAGCCACGCCACTATCCAGCGGCGGGAACTGTACCATGTTTATATACCTGCCGCTCCATAACACGACAATAGTGGCGATCATTTGACCCAATCCCAAGACTTGGTAGGACGGGAATGCATAAGTCGTCAATACGGTTTTGTTCACAACAGTGATCATAAAAGAGGCGACCGCATAAAATACCGCACTTAGTATTTTCCCGGTCACCTGCGCCCTGTCAGCGTCCACTTCATCCTGAACATTTTGTCCCGACATTGCGATGCACCACGTAATTAACACGAGTAAAGCAAAACTAAACGAACATGATTAATTACGCGAACGCTTCGAATAATTATGTTTGCTGTCACGATTCCGTCATATGGGCGCAGTTTATTCACACGAGAGCCGCCTTCATGGTCAGTGAGTTAATCCTTTCATTGAAAACAAATAGAAAGAAACCTTGATTACATTATTCTTTACATGAAATGGATGGAGCATTGAGTTTTCGAGCCGTGAATTTTGATGAGCCAAAGCAACTCAGTCGATGACAGACATTTGACAGTCTATTGAATGTCAATGTCAAATTTCTACAGAGCACTGTTTGAAAAAATTCCTGCATATAAAGGTTCCCCAACACGGTCAAATAATGCATATTGTTTGACCGAATTAAGTATACTAGAGTGTAGTTAGAAAACTACACTCTAGTATACTTAATTCATTCTTAGATGTGTACAGTTATTTTTTTATGAATATAATATATATAAAGTTTATTTACATCACATTAATAATCTTAGTGCTGTAATATGGGATATTAAATTGCATTATTCCAATAATTTTTAATGTTATAGAACTCTGTAACAGCTCCAATTATAGATAGATAGCTCCAAATATAGTTCATTGTTGCTAATAATTCTAATTTGGAATAAACTGAATACCATAATTTTGTGGCTAGAGATGTAAAAAATTGTGATAATCTGTATTATATATACATTGTATGTACAGTATTTTTTTGCAATTGCAACTGCAAAAAGGTAGGTATATAATTAAAAAAGTGTAGATTTAGATTTAATAGAATTTGGCTATATTGTCAAATTCAATTTTAATTTTAGTTAAAATTAAACGTGTGTGGAGAGCATTATCCACCTCACCATAGACTACAATCGCAGGGTAACTAAGCACTAACTTTTACTTATCATAAGCAATACAACTTTATTTTATGCTTTTCCGCAAAAGTTTTAATGGTATAAAAAATAATAAATATTTAAATGCAGCATAATATTTTAAATTTGATATCACTATTTATAAATATATTTTATTTTTATTTAAAAACATAAATATTTAATAATATTAATATTCTATTAAGCGTTTTGTTTAGCCGTTTGACTCTACTGCGCTTGACAGCCATGTAAAGTAGATAGAAGTTGGTTGGACAATGAACGGTGCATTGTGAACAAGCGACATTTTGTTATTTTTTACATGTATTGCCATGCCAGTCAATAGTATTTGTATTGCAATATAATTATTTGCGGGTAGTATTATAGTAAATCATGTGTGATGCTTTTAACATGAATATTTAAAGCGTATAAGGTGTCGAGCGTCGTTTATTTCGTTTACGTAGGCAGCGGGGGGGTCGCGTTTCATTTTCAGGCAGTGCGATGTTTCATTGTGTGGACGCGTAGTTGAACTGAAACTTGTGTACAGTTAGTCGCGGTCTGGGACGGGCGTCGGTGCTTAGGAGTGTGCGCGGTACGGGTGAAATGGCGATGCCCGAGCAATTTTCTTTACGATGGAACGATTTCCATGCAAATCTATCCCAGTCCTTCCACGCATTGCTGGAAGGCGAAGATCTGGTGGACGTGACTTTGGCAGCGGGTGGGCAGTACGTGCACGCTCACAAGCTGATTCTCTCCGTGTGCAGCCCCTACTTCAAGGAGCTGTTCAAGGTGAGTCATTGTTTCAGTTTTCCTCAAGAAGCTGGCCTGCTGACTTCTCGCCAGTTATCACACAACTATTTATCTGGCAGATAACTTTTCGTTATATTTCTACTATTGACACGACATGAATGGAGTGGAGCATTGATAAATGATATATGTGTTTACACTACTAGTAATTAGTGTACATTATTGGGATCATTATACTGAAATACCAAATTATATACATCAATAGACATATATGTCTATAAATGCAATATGACTATATGACAATGGCACTTCAAGTGAGTATTGATTGCAATTCTGCCTAGGTACTTATAGTTATATTATAAGGTTTACATGGGTTTATATACTTTTGATATCACTTAATTATGTATCTATATGTATTATTTGTAATATATGTGTGACACATGAAGAATGTACTACTAGACAAAGAATGTTATACAATGAAAAATAAAATATACTTAATAATTGTAGTAATAACATATAAATTAATAAAAGAACCATATTTTATATGAGATAAGTCAAAATTTACTATGCATATAATATAATGCATATTAAATTAAATTCAATAATTTGTAACAAAGAGATCAAGCCCGTAGTTATATTCAATAGCCTTCTATTAGGTAATGACTGTGTTATACAGTATGGTAATGTAAGTCAGGATATGTTCTGAAACTGTATGGTGATGCCATCATGATGGGCAAGAATTGGCACAATGTTATAGTAAACATGTTTTGTAGGTACATTCTACCCTCGAGGAAATTTGATAAATGGTATAATATGTGTGCAACATTGTAGTCCAATTGAAGATGCCTCATAAAATACAGAACAATTCATTAAACTGCATCTGGATGTGATGGTATGCACCAGGCAGTTTAGGGTGAGCAGTTCTTTTTTGGATTTGATGATCAACCAAGGTCTCTGTCAATTTGCATAGCAGTAATGACATTTATTTGACTACTCCCTGGCTAAAACATTTTAGTACTTCTGCTGTTATTTATTTAACTCTTGTCTGAGGGTGGAGGATGAAAAAGTTAAATGGGTCTTAAAATTTTAAGTTGACTATTGGTAGACCTATTGGTCCACCTATATACTTTTCTATTTCCCAACCTGTCTGTCTTTCATAGCCTAGGTCAGTTCAATGACCTCTAATTATCTCTGAGTCTTCTGATATCCCTCTGAATAGCTAGCCCCTATATAAGAATAAGGTCCCTAACTTTAGCTGATGCATCATTATATTTCAAGAGAAATTTCTATTATAAACACTACAAATTCTAAAGTATTAAATTGAATGATATATTTCTGCTATGAATAGCATTTCAAATAGAGAACTTCAAATTTATTACAATTATTATATAGTAGACTAATCCCTATATGATATATAAGCATACCTTGTCTATGCTTTTGAGTATATTATGCTTAAACCTATTTCAAATTTTGAAACAAAGTATCCATTTTGAGCTGACCTTAGTATGGAAATATACTGTAATTATATATATGAAGGTATATATATATATACTAATTAAGCACAATAATCTTTCACTATTCCAAATATGGATGCTACCTAAAGTTTATAAACATTCTTTAGTTGAACAGTAGTAAAATTGCAGTTCAGCAATTTGGTCCCAATAACAGATGCTTAGTGCATGTTATTTGAGTGTTTAGCTGAAAAATATGCGGAATAGGTATTTATGAATTGCATACCCAATGTTAACAATTGCATGAAATGTATGATTCATGTAAGTTGATAATACTGGCAACGAATAATAGTCCATTGTACATGTAAAACATATTGGAGACTACATTAAATATATAAAAATAAATATCATTACTAATGTCATCCAGGATGGGGTAGTCAGACGCTTTTAAAAAGGTGGTCATGATTAATGCAGTATTAAATGTGAGTATGTGAAATACACACATTACATTGGGTATACTAATATCCAAAGTGGCAGGGTCGAGCCGCCGCAATCAGATTATTTTTTTATTTTGTTATCGGTGTTTTCATCACCGGTTAGTTTTTTCGTTACCGGTCGGTTTTGTCATTTTTTGTCACCAATGGGTTTTTATCATCTCCTTTTGTATTGTTGTTAGCATGTTGGATTTACGATACTTTGAGTTAAAATCGCGGAATTAAAGCTCTCGTTAAATGCAAAAATTTTCCCTCTAAAGTAGGTATCTACCAAAGTACATAATAATAATATTCCGTCTCGACTGTTCTATCTGTATCTATGTATATATCCATCCCGGGACGGCTAGACGGGGTCGTTGTGACCTATCGATTCGCGAAACTTGACATGCGCATTTCGCTAGGTGTTTGTATCCAACGTTACAGGGGCGAGCCCTCTATCGGATTGGTTAAGCTCGTCGTCATTGTTCACGTAGAGTCAGTAGCATATATATATATATATTGACAGAAAATTTTCCAGTGCGGGCCAGACATGTACTGACGATCGTTCGCTATAAGTTTGTGTAGTTACAACAAGGGTGCGACATTGTCTTACAGTGCATGGTACAGCGAAATATAGGGGAACTCGTGTGTGAGTACTGTTTTTTTAAAGGATAGTAATGGAATGATTGTCCTTTTTGCTTTAGTAGTAGATGATAGGATGACAATGAAATCAAGTCGGATGGCAGTTTGAGAAATTAATCGTAATTATAAGTACATTTTTAAGAAAGGGGCTAAAAGTTCAAATTCTGATGGGGGATCAACACATGCATGTATGCAGGTTACAGGGAAGATTTTCATGAATACCTTTACAGTCCTTGATCACGGATAAAGTCGTGAAGACTTGGTATTGGTAATGTGAAAGTTTGTGAGAATGGACTCATGTATGGGTGTTTGTTAATCTTTCACTCAAAAACAACTATGCAGATTCGACTAGTAGGTGCTACATACATACATACATAGATCATAAAAGATTAAATTGTAGGATACATTTTATCTTAACACGAGCAACCAGCGCCGCGTGCTACATTTTTTAGTGTTATTGTAAGTTTAGTTTTAGTTATTGTAAGTTTTTCTTTGTTTGTCGGTATTCTCAGGTAATTGGTAGCCATATTTGTTACGAATATGCCTATATATCTATGCTGAAGTCGCGGTAGAATGCTAACGCGACCTCGTGTCCGACAATGACGACTCTGAGCTACACCACGTGGATTTTAGCGGCTAAAAATCTCGATACTTTTCCCTTCGGAGGATTGGATAGTCTTTATAGAATTTTGTACACGTAAAAAAGGTTATATAGGTATTTTATATATGAATATAGATACTCGGGCGGGGTTGTCTTGTTTGCAGGGTGTGTCTGTATTGCATCAGGGATGTTCGCGGATGCGTGAGTTAATTATTTTAACCCGACGGTGCGCAGAAAGGTGTGCCTCCCTCATGCGCAGACAGTGAGGGTAGGACGCAGGGGAGGTGGGCGGGGAGGAACGAGGGACCGATAGGACCCTGGGCAATATCGCTTGCAGGCTGCACTGTTCGTACGTGAACATTTGTTGCATCATATCTGGAGAAATTGCAACAATGTTAAAATATTCCAGTCTGATTTTAATAGGCTTCTGTACTGTACTCATATGTGTGTATTATAAATGGAATACTTGTGTAGTTTTATTTATAATCTTAAAATCGGTCAATATTACTGGAATAATAAATCATTTAAAAATGAATGAATATCCTATTTTTTTTATGTGATTTTCTTGATATATACTCCTATTATGTTTACTACTAGCTGTTATAGTTACATCCTTCGCATGGTATTTAATTTTTTTTAAATGAATATAATTAAATTTCTTCAATAAAAAAGTTACTTAATTTCCTTATATTATCCATTATTACCTGTAAAAGTCCCGTCGAAATCAGTACAGCCGTTACAGACGAACAAAAATGTATAAAATTTTTTGTTTGATGTAAGTACCTATAATATATACTTTCTTATGCATTTAGTGAAAAGCTTCTAGTTTGAAATTACGAACAGACACTTTAATTTAATTTATTTTTATATATATGAATTGTTGTGAAAAGAAACTAATGATTTTATGTAAATATTTTTTATGTAATGGGTTTTCTTTTTTACATTCACATTATCACGCTATTACAGGAGGATTGTTAGAGGCATTGTCAAATGTCGATGTCGTGGTGAAAACAACACTTGTCAGGCCCAGGTCGACAGGGGCGAGTCTACCGCCGCCTCTCGGATAAATTTTTGATTTGAAATCGATATTTCCTTCATCGGAGCGACAGACAGAGATGTAAACTAGCATAATTTTTTTTTGTGTTGTTGGCAGATTTGAAACACTAACTTTAAGGCGTAATTTATAGTAGCAGTTATAATTATTATTATTTATATCTTCTTTGTTTTTAAGAAAGATTTTCACTTATTTTTTTTATTTTATTGTATTTTGATGTTAACATTGTTTGCCTGCAGATGAATCCCTGTGAACACCCAATTGTGATCCTAAAGGACGTGCCACATCAGGAACTGCGCCAGTTGCTCCAATTCATGTACCGGGGCGAAGTGCATGTACGCCAGCAGGAACTCTCTGGGTTCCTGCACACGGCGGAACTGCTGCAAGTCAAAGGTCTCACCAGCGGTCGGGAGGTTAGTTGTTTAATCTGTACATTTATATAACTTATAATATCGTAGGTATATGTTGAGTTGACATTGAGTTTGTTTACGCGGACATTCTATAACTATGTAATACAATAAATACATTTTAATTAAAGACATACAAAGTTAGTGATGAGCGTTCATGTACTTGTAAATTAATTTATAGTATACATATTGCAGAATCAAAATACATTAATTATAATGATATTAGTATCGATCATTTTCACATTTTAACAAAAATACTCATCAAAATCGGTCTTCATACAAATAGAAGTTAAATTTATAATATTTTTTTTTACGCCGCTGTGTGAATTAATAACATATTCTACCCATAGGTATATACATGCATATATTTTGTTGTCTTGTTTGGGATTGAACCTGGTACCACAAATAATGGGTTAAACCACTACTCGACCAAGGTAGACAAGTTTTATAACCCAAATCATTATTAGGTACATTTTAGTAGATGATGTCATGGTAACGGTCACTTGATAATCGATCGACGTGCACTACTGGGGGATGATACGAAGGTCATCCATAAATAGCCAGGACCAGGGGGAGTCACAAACATTATCTAAAAAAGTAATTAAATCTACGACCTGAGTTAGAGGTCGGATCGTAGATTTATTGACCTTTTATTATGGCATCGGTGCTCTAACAGTTTAGTACCGCTTTACTCCAGATAGTTGCGGGTTCGATTCCTCGCACGGTGCAAACATTTGTATTCATGATTATGATTGTTTGTAATAAATTTGTATAAATGTTAATCTAAGTATATCTATCAGTCAAATAATCTAAGTATTTATATCAGTTGTCTAGTACCCATAACACTAGCTCTGCTTACTGTGGGTCTAAATGGCGCTGTGTTAGTTGTCCAGGGTAAATTAAAATTAAATTTAATTAGGATAGATCCTAAGTACTACGCTTTGTGACGCCACATTTCAATATTAGTATTTCAATTTTATTTTTTTTATATCAACGATATTTTAATTTTTTCAAGTTTAAAAAAATTCATATTAGAGTGACGTAATTTATGAAGGGCCACTAATAAATAAATAAATATCCTGGGACAGTTAACATAAATAGACAACTGATAGATAGACTAGAGAGAGATAGATAGACTGCTTTTTGTAAATACCTATAGAAAACACCCAGACCGATACAAACAATCAAAAATCAAAATGCTCATGAATACCTCATGAATTTTTTTACCGTGCGAGGAATCGAACCCACGACCATCGGAAGAAAAGCGGTGTACTACACCGCTAAACCACCGAGGCCGTCAACAGGATGGAATAAAATAACTTGGTTTATATTTCCAAATTTCTACCTAAAATTTCATAAAGCACTTGTACAATTCCCCGACGGCTCACTAGTTACTAATAATAACTACGTAAACATACGGACATAGGTGACAGGTATCTTTCGATATACACAAAATTAATTGAACAAATATTAATTATACTAATCAGCGTGTTAATTATCTATAATTAATTATTGTAATGTAATTATAACAATATTATTGACACAGCCCATCGGGGTCTATGCACTGGGTTAAAAGATCACTGATTATAGTACTGTTCTTGTATACAACATACAATATAACCAATACTAATAATAGTTCCAATGAAATACTTGATAACCTCGATGGTCTAGCGGCTTAGCCTCGGTGCAGGTTCGAGCTCTATATATATTAGAGATCTCATTGTTTATAGGCATTTATTTGTGTAATATTGGAGACGGTAGTTCTCTAACATTATTGCAACATACATTAAAATAAAAGAGTTATGCCCACAGCGCAGTGAATCACCTCCACCAGTGGAAGAACTGCCTAAACCGAAGGTGCACCACTCAGAAACGGACAACCAACCTGAGTGGGTGCCGGGGGGCGAAGATACCATCGCTACGGAAGCTCCATCTGAGCCTGAGATAAAGGAGGAGCCTCCAAGGAGCCCGCTCAAACGGTATGTACAAACGTTGTTTTACAATATAAATTAAATTTTCTATTTAAAATTTGGGGTTGTTGATAGAAGGTTCAAAATTTAGGCTTAAGTATATTTTTATTTATTTTAAGTATATTTTTAATGCCACGTAATAAAAAAATAGAAAAAAGAAATTGTTGAAAAAAGGAAAAACAATTTTTAGGGTGAGGCACCACTTAGGGGTAAAAAATTTGTTATAAACCTATTGAATATACATACAACATTTCATCAAAATCGATCAAGCCATTTATAGGAGAAGTATAAAACTTTTAACACGAGAATTTTATGTATTAGACTTAGGTAAAAAATCTATACTGATATTGTTTTAATGTATTTATTGTACCGCTTTTGAGATTGAAACTCCTATAATGTTGTGTAGCTCCTTTATCGAGGCAGTATACTATAAAAGATCACGCCATGACCAATAGGAGCGGAGCAGCAATGACATGTAGCAGCAATGCTATATAATGAAAACAGGAAATGTGACGTGGACGAAGTTGCAAGGGTCAACTAGTATTATACATATACATTACAAAAAAGTGGTATATCACATGTCACATGTTTACAATTCAATGATAACAAAGAAGAAAATTTATGTATGTGTATGTCATACAGCTTGCTCAAGAACAGCAAGAACAACAACATGAAAAAGAAGACGCGCCCCGTGAACAGCAGCCCCACTCATCCCGAGAACACCGAGTACGCCTACGATGGGTGAGTACATCGGGTATCATATGTCAACTTCTATGAAGTACTTCTCATTTTCATTCCTATATACGTTTACAGGTGACCTCCTTTACACATAGATATTTAGATTTCAGTATACCTAAGCTAAATTTCTTTTTATTTTGTCTAAGGATAAAATATAAAGAATTACTAAAAAATAATGTAAATGAATACAAATGTTCTTTCTATTCATTTATATACTACTTATATAAATAAAAATGAATTGATGTTTTTTTTACGTAGAATTATGGAATGTTTCATCAGTCTGCGCTAAGGGTATACTTGTCCATAGGTGCCCATCTGTTTTTTTTAAATTTTCTATCTTAGTACTCATCAGTGGAAAATGATGAGGTGAGGATGAAGTCATTCCTATCAGTTATATAGCCAATTGTTGTTAATTCATCAAGATAGTTTCCAGGTGAAACCTTGAGGTCAAACTGACGTTACATTGGTAGCAATGGGGCCTGTACTCCCAACTGCTAACAATTACCTTCCCTAATCAATTGCTGTTTGTTAACCTCGTTAAAAGTCAGAAACGGAGCAACCGATTTGTTTTTCTGTCTTATTCGCTATAACATAGGGGAGGTACGGCAAAACAACCTGGAAAAACTACTTAGATTAATTGTTTTAGGGTTTAAGCTAAACTATTAATGATTATTATATACTATAGTTGAATTGCTTTTGTTAATCAAACGAATTGAAGTTTGTAAGTTAATAAGGATTAAGAAAAATCGATGATTAACAGTCGTAATACAATATATTGGCGACGATAGCACCTAAACAAAAATAAACAGCATTGTTTAAAGTAAGTAATTGAAAATGTTTATGTAAATAGTTCCAGTCATTTAGGAGGAGTTAAGTAACAAATGCACTGGAATTACAGAAGATTTATATACATGTATTAATATATATGTATACAGAATACACACGAATAATAAAATTTAATCGTATAATAATTAAATTGCCTAGTTGCATACTAATTATCATTGTATACGATCGTGGTAGTCTAACGGTTAGAAACTATGGACCCCAAATACGTGTGCCATGTTGCTTGTTTTTAATAAAGTCGTTGTTATACGAGGCAGTAGATTTAGCAGTACGGTCCACTGTTGATGCGACTAAGCATTTATTTGTAATTTCGTTCGTACGTGATCTGATCACTAAGATCTTTCGACAGTGTTACACGTTAGGTTGAATAAAATATATTTATATGTATTATAAGTTTGTACTCTTATTGTTGTATCTACATTAAAAATAGCGGGCAGTTTATTTATTCTTGATACCGCATCTAAAACAGAGAGATTTTATATCAATTGAGTTTCTTGCTAGCTCTTCTCAGGCGGATCTATACACTGAACTGGATGCTAGTGAAAAATATCTTTATATATAAAAATTACGTGTCACGTTGTTGTTCCGCGATGGACTCCTAAACTACTGAACCGATTGCAAATTTGATTTGCACATTGTGTGCAATTTGATTCAACTTGAAAGATAGGATAGCTTACATCTCTATTTATAGACGCAATATTATTTTATTGCAAATTATTTGATATAAGAAGATCCACATTAGCCACAGTAACGCGTTGCCGGGTCTGCTACTAGGTATTATAATATAAAAAAACATTTACGTTCATAACAGTTCGTTCATACTAAAATATCCTATATGAATAAATGATTTTTGAATTTATAAGTTATTTTTTGACTCAAAATTTCTTTCGCTATGTACTGTGGAAATACAACTTTGGAAGACTTTTCATCAACCTACTTCAAGAAAGATGAGATTTTCCATTCATTTTTTTAGGTGTTCTCAGAGTGTTTCTGCTATGTGATTAAATAAAAAGATGAATATTTGACTAGTGATTCTTATCCTTTGGTCCTATATACGTAAGATTGAGATTTGAACAATATTTTTAGAGTTATCCAGTTATTGATATTTTCATATGGTTTTCCGACATTTGTTTAAACTCATCGTGATATCCGGGCGTTTAATGATTCTTTATTATGATTTTGTATTATTATTTAGTAATTCTATTTCTTTTTTTATTAGTGAAAAAGTGACAAAATAATCTTATTTTTATTTTTATTATTATTGTTATAATTATTTATTATTTTGTTTCTTTATTTTTTATTTTATTTTGTTTTTAATAAAAAATTTCAGTGAACCCCTGATTGACTTCGACACAATGGATCCGTTTCCTAGTGTGATGATATTACCGGAGTCCGCTAAAGAATCTGGTGAGTAAAATGTGTCATTGATCATAATTACGTACAATTAAGTTTTAAACTACACGGCGTCTTCGTAGAAAGTCGTCTGCGGAAAGCGGGCTTGTGCTGTGGTCCGGTTCGAATAGGCATTATATTTGGCAGTGAAATTATTGGGTTGGGTTATAGTGCTTTAGTCTTCATGTTAAGACATTAAAGATTAAGTAAATTGTAATTTCGATAACATTGATCGCTTATCTTCAGGCGGGTATTTTTTTTATTATTTAAAAATTTTTGCTTCTAGTTCATTCTTGGTTAGTAGCTAAATAAATTAAGTTGATTTTTTTTTCGTTCGTATTGTTAGATTTGAAAAAATTGCTTACACGATAAAATATTTAGTTACCGTTGAGTTTCAACACAGTTTTTCTCAACTTATGTGGGTATCCGAACCGGACAGTATGGATAGTTAAAAAAATTCTATGCATAAGTGGTTTAATGATTATGACTTTGACTTGATTATTGAGTGTTTTCAGCAGGTTGGAACTGCAAGACGGGTGGTGTGAAGTGCCCGTCGTGCCACAGGTTCTTCGCGAACAGGTATAACCTGAAAGTGCATATTCGAGACAAACACGACACCAGAGAGGGGACGCTGCAATGCGAGATATGTCAGAAACGTATGCGCAACCCGTCCTGTCTACGCGTTCACATGTACCACCACCGCAAACAGGCAGCTTACCTGGCACAGCTGAGTAGTCAGGGTGACCAAATGCAACACGTGTAAGTTTTATTCTTTATTGTAAATGGAATGACAAACAAGTTGACGGTCCATTTAATAGAAAAATAGCAACTGTTCCCTGTATAACAGCATCACAGATTACGTTATCATATAACGATACTGGTAACCCTCACGCGTTGCTGTTCCAGACATATTGGAAGTAATATAAATAGAAACAGGCAGTAAATTTACTGCGCAGTAGAAATAATACAATTAATAAGACAAAGGATTGTTGGAATGGCAGGTATATTGATTCAGAACTGTGTTTTATTAATAGACGAAGCAAGTTATGCCTGAAGCCCAGTAACTCTACAACTAGCGTTGCGTTGGCGGCGAGTTCTAACGAATTTCATACTTCTGTGGCTTTAGTATTTCACCGTTCTTTCCTTTGTTAAGGATTTCAATTTTATATTTCGAAACTTTGAACTTTTGCCTGGATTTTAATTAATTGAGTATCGTTGACTTAATTACTCTGTAATTTGGTTGAAGGCGAAAATGGAGAAAAAGTAGAAATATAATATAATGGTAGAAATGTATAATAAACTATCTAATTCTAACGGGTTTACATGAGCACCAATTATTACCAGTTCCTTAATATCCTTTTTTATGGGCTTCTTATTAATATATTTTATTTTATAAAATATATTGCAGGTGATACGACGTTCACCGGGTCATCTAGCTTTTTTTTTTTATATTTTATGGTGGCATTCAAGCGAACGGCCCATCTGATGGTAAACGGTTACCGTAACCTTTAGACGCTTGAAACACCATTAATGTATTAATAAATGAAATAAAGACATCAGTATTAATCGTTTTTGAATTATACCTCTTTTAAGTTCATGTTTTATTATGATTTATACACAGTTATATTAATATTAAGATTTTTATATAAATTCTATTACTGGGGAATTTTTATGCCGTATTTTCTGGCCATAAGACGTACCAGATATTTATTGGAATAATAATTTTGAAACTATCAGGTTTATTAATAACACCTGATTAAGATCATATAGAAAGTATATAGCGGTGATTATTCACGCTTGTAGTAAGATTAATTGGTTTTATATGTAAAAAGTGCGTCTTATATATCAAAAGACACGGTACATAATAACTAGAATTAATATAAAGGAATGGAGACACCATTTCTTTCATCCTAAGAGGTTGTAAGAGACGACAAAGCAAATAAAGCATAAATATATGAGTATAAAAGAAGAAAATCTCGAAAAATTCTGTTAAGTTTATTTATACAACTCATTTTTTGAATTCATTATGTTTGTTATAGTTGTTTTTATCACCGTTGTGATAATCACAATTGTAAAGTTTAAATTGTTTTAATGTCCACCAGATTCGAACTCTTGACCTTTAAATTCTAATCGGAAAGAGTATAGAAAGCCAAGCCAGGTAGACTAGAAAACTCTTGACGCTGAGCTACTTTCATCAAGAAACAAATGGAGGTCTGATAATAAGGAAACTTATTATAATGATTTGATCACGTGACCGCGCATTTTGTATGAATGTAAAATAAATCATATTCCACTTTAGTTTTTGGGGAAATTAGTTCAGTAAATCTATGCACGAAATATGTGGCTTTTAGATTGTATTATTGTTTGCGACTATGCCTGTATGTGTAGTGGCTCGTAATGTATATATATAGTAATTGTCAATGTTAGTATAGTGTTCGTATTTAATGTTTCTGATGATATTATAGCGTACAAAACATGCTTGGCAGTAAATGGCGTAACGAGGCCGGACTTGCCGACTACAGAGATGACAAGTAAGTGCGAATTTGATTATTATCACATGCGATTAAGATTGGCGGGACCAATTTAAAATAGAGATGGATTCAAATCATTCCAATACATGTGAAAAAATATATATATATAAAAATATATAATACATAGTGGTCCCGACTATGTTTCGCATTCGAATTTTTATTTATTTTATGTTTGCATCGATCATGAATCATTATCTGCTTTTCCTTATTCCAAATCATTTGGGGTTCACCGACCACAAGCGATATTTTCTGTTTTCCATTCATCTCTGTTCGCATTTATTTCTCCTTTTCTTACCATATCATCTTTCGCACAGTCTATCTTTTGGCCTTCCTTTGCCGTCATAACCATACAACATTTATTTTAATATTCTCTTTATTCGTAATTCCTATGAAACTATTTCAGTGGTGTGTTTATTCAGTATTACATAACAGAATTCTTGACTACTGAACTTGTTTCTTATCAGTTTTTATTTAAAATTTATTACTTTTGAGCAGTGCGCTTTCATGTATTTTTTTTTATTTTTTTATTTTGTACTCCTCTGCATTGCGAATGTTATATTCTTTGCACACCCTTTTCTGCTGATCCGGCATTTGCATTTGTAGTAATTATCGATGTATTGTGATTGTTGAGTCTGCAAATTATTTGATTGTAAATATTTTTTATAGAGAACGTAATTGATAAATGAAAATATTATTAATTTATTAATGATAGCGTTGCGTAATGATACAAAGTCAGGTTACATGTAAATTACAGCAGCTAGCAGATCAATTACTACTTGCACGGCGACCATTTAGCTATCTACCCATATAATTCAATACTTAAGACAAAATCATAACTTCATCAAACGTTCTCTATATTTAATATTTATGTTGTTGTACCTACCTATATATGTTGCTTGTTACCGAATTTATTCTTTTTTGCGCATGTAAAACAGGTTTCGTGTACTTCAATGGCTAACCTGCCGACAGCTCTCCTACTGGCAACCATCGCTTTTATACTAAAATAGCACTGCGACTCTAAAGAATAAAACATTATTCCTACAGTACATAATCTTAATGCGTCACAGTTTCTAAAGATTTAAGTCTGAACACTTTTTATTGTAATTTCATGACAGTGAACATATTTCAATATAACCCCATGAACGGTAATACTACTTAAAAAATAAGCTGCTTGAACAAGCGGCGGAGTTTGAAGGAACAGTACGAAGTCTTCCGCGGAATCTCGCGCAACTTAGTCTGAACGTCCATTGAAGTTAATATTTTTATTATTATTTTCTTGTTTAAAACCTAATATATTAATAATGAGGTCTAAACGCGAAAGTAATTTAAAGCGTTAAATATTTTCATAGTTCGATGTGCCGTATCTAGGATTTTATGCAAGTTTATATATATATCTAGCGCAACTTAGTCTAAACGTCTATTGAAGTTTATATTTTGATTATTAATTTATTGTTTAAAATCTAATATGTTAATAAAGTGGTCTAAACGTAAACGAAACTAATTTAAATCGTTTAATATTTGCACAATATATCTATTGCAAATGCTCACTGTGGTCGAAGTATATTATACAAAAAGAATTTTAGCTTGCAGGTCAAAAGGCGATGGTTGCTTTCACTTACAATTCTCATGCATGCTCGAAATTGAAACAAATATATTTTGTCTATTGGACAGTTTTGTCAATTTATTTTATACGTAGTAGTTTTCATAGACACTTGATGTTGCATGCTAGTTTCAAATTAAATATCATTAAGTTCAGTATATTTGTAAAATGGTAATAAACAGATAGACACACTTTCACTGTTATTATGCATTAGAATTTTCTGTAAATTATGCTGTGACTGCAATGTACATGATGTTACTTAAAAGTAACAAATTTCTGTCTGATTATATGAAGTGTTTGAATACAAAAAAACGTAAATGGTTGGTGTGGTGAAAGAAACACAGATCTTTCTCGTAACCTTTTTTGTTAGTTCGAAGTAACATGCAATAAAGAGTATTGTGCCTTTAGTTAACGCCTACTTTACCAGTATTTGTTTCTGCGACTTATACTATATTATCTATACTGAATAATCGATATATAATATATATTTTTTTATGACTATCAAAGAAACAAAGTGGAAAATTTTAAATAACTTGTAGTTCTTTCGTGGAATTTGCACGGTCACAAAGTTAGTATGACGAGTTCAAAATGTATTTACAAATTTCCGTTTTGTTTCATGGAGAAACTCGTTAAGAGTCTTGACTGTTCTACCTGGCTTACGGCTTGGTATACCTTTAATTACTGTCCCTGTGTATCAGGGTAGTGTTAAAATGTTGAAAATTAGATATCATTAATCCTTTATAATAAACGCAATACTTTATTTACATTCCAGTTATCAAGCTCAAGAGTCAAAGGCTTCGGAGAAGCAAGCCGCTGCCGAGACAGCCGCTGTTACACCTGAGAACTATGCTCCCGAGCCGGATGTCCCAAAACCGGATCCTGAGACCGTATGATCAAGATCTTCTAGCGGAGATGATTCGTACGTTGATCCTTACCTGTTGTTCTACTCGTTTACACAGCGGTGTTTTTGGGATAAGTACGTTTTCGTTCCCAGCTATGCTCCCCCTCGGTATCGCCGCAGAAGCCCACATTAAATGTGACAAAACTTGACCACTGCAGTCTGGAAAGTGGAATATGAAAATTGTTGTTGACACCACTCCATATACTTAAATGGTGATGACGCCAATATTCATAGTTGCCAAAATCAAAAAGTATGTATGTATATTCCTGTAGGTCTATATAGGACATTTCTAATATGTCAGTGTATTTGTTTTATTTTTTTTCGTATTTTTATGCAGGTTAACTTTCCAGAATGGGCACTACTGGATGAAAGTTTTCACTTTGTATATATTTTATTCTCTGCGGTATCAAAGCAGCAATAAATAAATAAAGCAGCTCTAGTATTCACATCTATATAGGCCACAAGGAATATAGAATGAGTTTCTGACCCCTCCCGATGAGTCTCTCTAACTATAATTATTTTAAGAAGAGATGCTAAATATATATATATTTAAAATACATGTCTAACAATATATTTTGACATTATATTTTTTATTTTTTTTGCCGTTTTGGCCAAGACTCAGCGTGTGTTATGACAGTTTACAGTCACGGTGTATTATTTTATTGTTACCAATTTCTATCAATTTCATGTAGGATAGAATTTTGACACTTTGTTACAATGATTTCCTAATATATATGTGAAATACAGGCTTGTTCATTATTGTTTTTTTATATAATTCAATAATTGATTTAAATATTTACATTTCTAATTAAAAATATTAGGATCTTACCAATTTTAAATTGGTTTTGACGACCTCGGTGGTATAGTGTTTAAGCATTAACCGTCTTATTTCGATGGTAAACTATTTCAGTCTGTTTCACCTATTAATTTTTAACGTTGTTTGCATTTTTTTTTCATGCCAACAATATAATTGACGAATTAGGTGTGAATTTTAAATATATCTCATATTATATTGGAATTAATACATATTTACAATATATTTTTTAAATGAAGAAATGTATCTTTTGATGCATACCTACTTTATTTTATATTTCAGAGCTGACTTTAAAGCATTATTCTTATATTTCTAGTATTTTTTATATTTCATATTTAATAATTAATTGTATTGAACATATTTAATATTCTATGTTCATATAGAAATCTATCTCTACATAAGCCTATCTCTTTATATTTATTAAGAATAATGAATAAGTACTTCGAAGGGGTCAGAGACATTCATCGTACTTTATATTTATAGTTTAAGCATAATATCTCATATGTTAATCTCTCTATATAATCATATTCTCAATATTAATAATAAGCCTAAAAATACAAAGATAATTATAATGTAATGAACTTTTGAACACCATGATTTTTCAATTTCTATATGCAATTTATAAACGTAAACTAACATAATATAGTTAAACGGGGCAGTGCGATAAATGTAGAAATACGTGGCGTTCAAAAGTTTATGATTGCAACAGGGTAGTGCTGTTGTGATGTTTTATGTATTTATATATACATTCCACCACGCAACTCCAAAGACTGTCATAATAGTCGAGTGTAAGTGTACATCCATCGCAACACCACTAAATGTGATGTATCTTTACGTGCGGCTTGCGACAATATTGTGTATATTTTATACTATATATTATTTAAAATAGCCATTTTAGACTTGAGAAATTTTTGTAACATGTAAATTCAATGTGATATAGTTTCCCTTTACATCGATTTCAGCCCTAAAGCGCCCTAAAGCGGGTTGATTTGCAAGATGTGTTTCTATTGAAGAATGAGACAAGAGAATGAAATTGCAGGATACAGAGGACATTTTAGTCCTACGCAATGGTAACACATGAGTGGTACCACCTTTGTGGTTATTAATGTGATGGCCGTGGTTCTGTTCATGTGCAAGCGACGGTTCATCAGGTGGGCTGTTAGCTTGTTAAATCAACCGATTCCAAACATTCCAATACTATGAAATATTAGTTCGGCCCGCGGTCGCACCCGCTTTAAATTTCAATAAAAAATGTAGCCTATGTATATTCTGATGCATAAGCTATATTACTGTAAAGTTTCATCAAAATCCGTTCAGTAGTTTTTGCTTGAAAGATTAACAAACATTCATTTTTACGAACTTTAGCGTATATAATATTTTTACGATTACTTATATAATATTGATCTAAAATAAATATTTGTTTGACAGCCATACATTGTAGTCGCCACATAATATGTTAAAATTTCAGAGTACTAATTGAATTTTGTCAATTTCCTTGCTTTTTGTCCCATTCTTCCTATGTGGGTCGGCACATGTCTCTTTCTTCTAGTGGTCATATCTGAGTTCACTGTCCAATGTCTTGCAATTCTTATACACAGTCTAAGTATATATCGGAGATATGCGATCGCTACTTCGTGACTCTTATTTATGTAAGAAGTTTTCAAACCGTACTTGTCTACATCCAACTAACGAACCAACGCCGGCTTAGCACGGATGCTCCTTACTCTGTAAGTTCTGTATACATATCTTGCAGACTATGCCGCTTTGTGGACTGATATTGTAATTTTAACTGTGAAAGAATTTCTCTATTTAGTGCAGTTGTTTCGGAGTTTATTTTACTTATAACAAAATCCACTGTCTATTTGTATAATATTAATAAAATTAATCAGTATTTAATTCTTTTAACATGCAGTATTGTCGTAAGTTGTTATCGTAAGAAAATGATTTCAACATACAGGGTGTGTATATGAAACTCGTACTTATAATAATAATTGTAGGCTCCATATAAAGTACGAATTTTAGATAAGGGACAGGAATGATATGTATATTCTTTATCTCCCTCATTCGATGTTTGATGTAAGTTGTATCTTCCACTGTAAATGTTTAAAATGTATCAGAATTAGTAATCAAACATAAGTCAATTATGGACAAGGAAAGCGTAGTTAAACTAGTGTGGTCCCAATGATTGGGCGAACGACGTAATAAGCGTATGGATTACTTATTTTGCTACATTTATTTAATAGAATAGGGCTGACATTCTATTGAAGGTATATTAACCTCAATTACTTGTATAACTTATAATTAGATATAATCGAATTTACACTTTGAAATTTATTAGATTTTAACATTGTGTATAGGATATATCTGTATCGATTTGACAAAGTTTCATTGCAACTGATGACGTAGTTTTATCGCATCGAAATCAGCACACCCTGTAGTTCCGCATTCCCACTGAACCGCCTCAATTAGACTAAAATAAGAATCTCATTGCGATACCCCGTGGCCAAGAATATATAAGATATATATATATATAAATTTAACAAGTACAATGAATCTAGGCAGCTAGTTCGCCCTAGAAGTAAGTTACGTTGCCATTCAACACAAATGTACAAAGAAAAAACCCCCTGTCCCCCCTCCCCATTCCCCCGATTCCCACATTTTGATTATGCTTAATCAAAATATAAGGTGTGTAATCACCCCCAAAAGCATAACCTTACAGTACAAATAATTGTATATTTTATCATCTACGTATGCTTTACTTAGATTTAGTTTTTTATGTTTAAGTATGTTGGAATTTAAGTTGGAACAAGTTATACGTACAGTTTAGTCCGTCAACGAAGTATATGTCGTGTAAGAATCAAAGAATTGGCCGTGTCATGAATTAGTCAGCCATTTTGTGAAACGGTAAAATTTCTTGACAGACGCACAAAAGTTAATATTACTGCGATATTTTTAATTTCAATAATGTTCAATGATTTTATTGTTTTATTATTAACATTATGATAACTTTTTTATCTTTTAACATTTAAGAAATCTACAAACGTTGAATATTATTATATTTTAAAATATTTGACCACAATTACGATGTAATTCAACCATTTCATGTAATAGTAACTACTTCATAATATGATCAATTGTACGAATTCACGACATATATACACAAATTAAAAGGGTCATTTACAAGTTGCTGATACGCTTCTTCTTAATACATTAAAATCATTGTTTACCTTTTCAATAAATATCTGGCAAATTAGGATGCGTGCGGTTTCGTTGTATCGCATGCTGTAACGTTTTCTTTAGAATTATGTTCTGTAATATTCTCGTTTCAAACAATTGAGTTCAAGCTTATATTTGTACTATTTGACAGTTCCTGTTACATACAGAATTGTAATAAATAATGTACAACTGAAACTATCAAATAGTACACTATCACTGGTATATTGATTTTATTTTGTTTCAGTTAACGAAATATATACAATATTCACAGTTTTGCACTCATTATTACCAAGCATTTCCCAATGATACCTTTCACATAGAAAATGATTAACAGCAACTAGTAACATGACCCTAAATATTATACAAGGGTTGTTATAGGTATACTAAGTAAATTTATACCTCAAATATTAAAATGACTGTTTATGTAAGATATCGTCCCTTTTGGTTCACCTTTTTGAAATTATTTTATTATAGATTTTTTTTCTACTAAGTGTATATTAGATGATTCCAATAGGTTACAAAAACTAATGTTAAAATTATGACCGGATTGAAGGCCGTGGCATATGTTGTCGGGACCGGCCTGATACTGGTGCGGTTTCGAAGCGTTAAAAAGCTTTAATGTAATAAAACTGTCCCATCGCTGCAAAGTCGAAACGTATTTAGTCATTAGCTCTCTTAATTGCATGGTGAACCTATGGACATGAATTCTTCTATTCGCGTATATATTTACCGGCGCGATGTTATGGTAAGATTTTATTGTAAATGTTATAGTGTATAGTGATTCCGTCAACGGACTCGCGCGTATGTTAACATTTTAATACCCTGTCTTTGAAATCGGTACGGTGAAGTGCTCAGTTAGTTTTTGATAATATGTAAAAGAATGTTCTGGAAGTGTTTTTTTTTTATTTATTAATTATTTATTTTTAATTGTTTTAATACACTTGTTCAATTAAAAATGTTCA